CATCTTTACCTATTAATTTTTTTTATCATATTTATCAATATTAAGGCTTATTTTATATATTTTTAATACATGATATAACTCGATTCTAGCATATAAAAAAGTGTATATAACACCACCTTTTAGTTTGTTTTATATGAAAAAAAATATAAATTAAATCATAATTCTTTTACATGACCAAACTGAAATCATTTAGGGGCCGTTTACTAAATGCTTATCCGGTAAGTACTTTATTGGATCATTTTTCTCACCGGATGAACATGGCAAGGGGTAAGAATCTTACCCGGTAAGAGCGATGATAAGGATGAAGAGTTTTACCCGGTAAGTGAGGGTGACGACTCTTACCCGAGTAAGCGCTTACCAGGTAAATTGTTGCATAAGATACGTTTTGATATACTACAATCTTACCCGGTAAACTAAATTATAATGTTGACTTCTAATGGTAAACGCTTACCGGGTAAGCATTTAGGTAAACGGCCCCTTAGTCTAAATGTAATAATAATTCCTATGTAGTGAAACAAAAATTATACAAGTAATATTTGAAGAAATTATCCCTTTTCTGCAGGGGCCGATGGCTACTGTGGCCTTAGCTCCTGGGCTTTTATTCAGATAAAGTGAAATATCTTCAGTCCATTAAGATTTTAAGTATAAAATTCTTCTAAACCCCTCCCTTATTATCGACCCAATCCATTTGTGTGTCGTCTTTGCTTTTCAGGAACTCTCTTGAGTAGACACTATTTCCATTTTCTCAATTTGGACTAAATACATTTCACCTTGATAAAAAGTCAAATGCATATTTGACTAATTTCCCTTTTAAAAAGTAAAAAAAGAAATTAATATTACTTTTTATTACGTTAATTTTTATAAAACAGCCCTCATCGGGTTTATTTTTATTTGAAATATAAATTAATAATTACTTTATAATTAAATTTTAAAATACCTTATTAATAAAATAAATCAACATAATGTATGTATACAAAACATAACTGTGTACATGGATCATACCAGACAACTCAAATGACAACTCGTTTCATTAGTTGAGTTGAACTTAAACGCAGTATGGGTCATACCAGACAACTCAAATGAGTTGAGCCATTAAATACATCAGTCGATTGAATTTGCAGTGCAAATTATATGAGTACATGTAAACTGAAACTCGATATTACATTATACAAGACAAGCCCAAGCGTCGGTTTTTTAGGTTTGGCAAATAGTGAGCTGATCTAAAGCCCCCATATTTTCTCATGAGTTGAGTATGAGATAGGAAATCTCGGACTTGTCTTGGCTCAACACACTCCGATAGGGGTGCTCATGGGTTGAGTTGATCGAGTTGAATACATTTGAACAACCCAATCAAAAGCTTGTGGTTTGAAAAGTCTTAACTCAACCCAACCCAAACGAAAGTGCAACCCAACCCAACCCAACCCAACCCAAACGAAAGTGCAACCTAACCCAACCCGTACGGGTTGATCGAGTTGATACTTTGGTACATTAAAATATTCTTCTAACCTTGAATATGTTACTTCTATACTCATAATTTCTTTTTTATCATCAACCATTTAATACAACTTATCCATACTTCTCATGTATATCACATTTAGTTAATTTTCTCAATTTACGTATATATGTTTACAGTTACTGAACATATATACGAATGAGTTATATAGAAATGTGAATAGATTGAAAAGGTGTGTATATGAATAGCATACGTGATAGTGTAATTGTCTAGTCTATATATTAATAGGAATTCAACAATCATATCAAATCCAAGAAATAAATGGATATCTGGTTTATCGGGTTGGGTTGGGTTGAGTTCAAATAATAGTAACCCAATACCTTCGGTTTGAAAATTTTACAACTCGATTAGACATCGAGTTGCTTCAGGTTGAGTTATTTCGAGTTGGGTTAGGTTGGTCGGGTTTTTGAGCACCCCACACTCCGATATGATTATAAGCGAGTGTTTATCAGTTCATGACCAAATTGGTAATGTTATATTAGTAAGAAAAGAAATGGTAAAAATTTAATAGTAGAAGGTCTAAAACGATAATCTGGCAATGGTTGAAGGGGGTAAAAGGTAAGTTTTTCTAACGGAAACACAGGACGGGCAGAATGACCCGAACTCCATTACCAAGAAACCTCTGTCGAAGTTGGCCAAGGAGAAAATGGGAAACGCGAGACGTAGTGTGTATGTGTGTGTGTGTTTCATAGCCACGAATCTGCGAGAAATTTGGTAGAGAGAGAATCCGAGTTCACAGGAGCTATTGAACAATGTCACTTTCACAAACAAGGAGACAACGAAGAGACGGAAGTGGTAAGAAACGGAGAGAGAGAGAGAGGGAGAAAAGTGGGGAGAAATGGAAAAAGAAAAAGAGGAAATTATGAAGATCTAAGAAGAAAAGTGAGAATCAATCTGACGAATTCATTGAAAATATGCTGGGAAATTTTCGGTTCTTGCAATGCAGATCATTCAGGGTCTCCACAGCGAGTTTAAGACGATGGGGAAACTGATTATCTGTGAAAAAGAAGAAGAATACAGTCACTTTGTGGAAAATTAAGGGTTTCCTTGAAGTTTCAAAATGGTAGGTGAAATATGTTTTATTTATTCTTGTTGCTATAGATTTTATATTCAGAACATCATGAGACCTTGATGATAGAGATATACATATGATTTGTGACGTTAAACATTTGAATTTTCTTTCAAGTTTGATATGGTCTTTGATGCAACAATATGGCAATTATTGTTCTGTCTGTGATACTTGTTATAAAGCATACTGTAATCAGCAAGTGTCGTAAATAATATTCAATTCCATGTCAGTTTAGAAGTTGAATTTTTTTGACGTTCAAAGACAAAGTAGTGCTTTTCTAGGTGCAGCGAGGAAGTTCATTACAATTTGAAATATATAATCGACTATGGACATTCAATCGTACACTGATCTATAAATGATTCATCTCCTTTTTGGTGTATTGAATCAAGACGAGATGATTCACTCACATTATATGTATAGGAGATACACTTTTAGTTAGCAAGACAGTAATCATCAAAAGCATTCTGGAGTACATTATTTCTAGCATTTTGACATAAAATTAGATGCATGACTTACAATTAAAAGCTATTGGCAATCAAAATCTTTAACTAAGCTGTTAAGAGAATTGTGGACAATGCTCCATTCGACAACCTGTACTTCTACCATTTGGTTTTGTATGTTCATTGTTCCCTTGCCGTCTTATATTACTCTGTAATGAGTTTATGCAAGTAAAATAACACTTTCTGGTAAATAGACACGCTTTAAAAAGAGTGCTGTCTTTTATAGATTATAAATGACTATATGTGTATGCGTAAGTAGTTAATTATTTCAGTGGTAGTTTCATAATGGTAAAACTACGTTACTATAAATAGAGACCCTTTCAAAAGAGTGACATCTTTTACAGATATATATTACCAAGTAGTCATTAATTATATTAGTGGTACTTTCATGATGGCAGAAGTGGGAACACAATTCTCTGCCTACCAGGAGCAGGCATAAAAAAGATCAGGTCTCTTTTTTCTTATTTTTTGGAAGAGAGGAAGTAATATACAATTACCCAAACTAGAAGAGTAGATTCTCTACCATTTTAACCATGCATGAAACTGAAACTGTGATAGTTCACAATTTAGTGGTAGTTTTCACTAAAATCATGGTTGAGTCACTCAATTGGCTACAAGATTATGGCATCATGCAAGTACAAGCTAAAGCTAACCATAGAGACTATCTATTCTTTAGCCAAAGATTGTCTGCAAAACTATCGCATGCATGTTGCTACATAGTTTGCTGTCTGCTTGAATGGAACTCATGATGAAAACTGTTATACATGCACATGTACATAAGTGCACACATAATGCATTGACCCACACTTGCCTCCATTTGATGCATCTTACATAGATACATAATTACATTCGGCATGTTAGGCAAATTGCATGCATTCCAGTTTTTTTAATTCAAATGTACCGACTGATTTGTATGACTACAGAGCACTAAGGTGAATATAATAGTAGGCTCTCATGTTTGGGTTGAAGATCCAGTACAAGCATGGATTGATGGGCAGGTCAAAAAGACTAAAGGGAAAGAAGTGGAGATTGAGACTACTGATGGGAAAACGGTTGGTCATTGATATTCTATTTCAAAGCCTATCTTATGATGATGTTTTACGCTTAATATTGCATATGATTTTACCAGTGAGTGACTGATGGCATCCCCATTATGGCCCATCATAAAAGGATATTTGTGCAAAACCATGAAAATAAAAATATCTACTAGACCACCAATATTAATTATACTTGCAAATGCACTCAACTGCTTGGTTACTCTGGTTCTGTCTATGTCCGGTAATGTGTACCATCCAATACTAAACAGCCAAGTTTGGCGTCCTAGTTCTGCCCAAATCAAACAAACTTCTACGCATAAACACACCTGCACAAATCTACCTGCTGCATAAAAGTTTTGCCAATTTAGTGACTTCCTTTGGTAAACCAGCACAATCAGTTGATGTAGAATCAACATTCTACATAGTGTCATAGTGATGATTAGAGATTATAAGGTTGTATGGGTAAAGATGTTTTTGTCACTGACACTTACATTGCAGTAGAATGCAACTTTTTTGAATCATCCCCTCTACCTCCACTCCCTGGTTTTTGGTGTTAAAGCAGATCTTCAGACAACCGAGTAGAAATCTTCTCGTTTTTTAATGGACAAAAAAGACGCTCTTTTTTGCAGTTTGCTTGCAGTGAACGGTAAAAATTATTTTCATTTAAGAAGAAAATTATTGCTCCTTGTCATTATTATAAATAGTGAAGAAAGTAACAGTGTTAATTTCATGATATTCGAAAGCTTTAATGTTATACTAAAGCCCGACTGTTTTATATTTGACTAAATACATGTAGCAGCATGAGATTCATTTTATGGGTTCTCTTTCAGGTTGTTGCTAATTTATCAAAAGTATATCCGAAGGATACGGAAGCTCCTGCTGGCGGTGTTGATGATATGACAAAGCTATCTTATTTGCATGAGCCAGGAGTGTTGCAGAACTTAAGAATCAGATATGAACTTAATGAAATTTATGTACGCTTTCATCTCATGTTATATTCTAAGATTGTCTTGCTTCTGTACAGAGACCTACAACAGATAGATCCTTACTTGTTTCAAACCATGGCAGACTTACACCGGAAACATTTTAATTGCAATCAACCCGTTCCAAAAATTACCTCATTTATATGATGCTCATATGATGCAACAATACAAGGGAGCACCATTTGGAGAACTAAGTCCCCATGTATTCGCAATTGCAGATACCTCTTACAGGTTATTATCATTTCTGTAATGGTAAGTAACAACCTTTTCTTTCTTGGATGCACGGGTGCTCACCATGTAGTTGCGTCTTTACTGGAGTCAGGGCCATGGTCCATGAGGGAAAAAGCAATTCAATTCTGGTGAGTGGTGAAAGTGGAGCAGGTAAAACTGAGACAACCAAAATGCTTATGCGGTTCCTTGCATTTTTGGGTGGCCGAAAAGCTACTGAAGGTCGCACAGTCGAACAGCAAGTCCTTGAAGTATGATATATGACGTATAGTTCTATATTTAAAGAAACTCTCAATTATTCTATATTTTATGTCACTGAACGGGCATATATCATTATATGTATCCTGATAAACTTCTATGACCACTGTGAGTGCAGTCGAATCCAGTTCTTGAAGCATTTGGCAATGCTAAAACTGTTAGAAATAACAACTCGAGGTGACTAGCTTATTCTCATGTAACTTGAGAGGCGATGCTTCCTATTTTAGTTGCCTTTTCATTTATTTGCTAAACTATTATGCAAACCAATAAGAGTTGAGTGGGAGTCTACCATAATAGACACGGCCATATTTACTGTTATTTTAATTTTATGTTCTGTAAATTTGTTATCAGACTGAGTTACCATTCTATTCAATTGTATGCTTCTGCTTGTTGTTTGACATCATTGTCCTCTTTTTATGTGATAATGGTTCAGCCGTTTTGGTAAGTTTGTTGAGATCCAATTTGATAAGCATGGGAGAATATCCGGAGCAGCCATCAGGACTTACCTCTTGGAAAGATCTCGTGTTTGCCAAGTAAATGACCCTGAGCGGAACTATCACTGTTTTTACCTTCTTTGTGCAGCACCACCTGAGGTATCTTCCTGCTACAACTGTATCTGTGATTGAAGTTTCTACATTTTATGAGTAAACTTGACTAGCAAAGTCTTTCTATCGACGTTTGATTAATATGGCATGCACTATTAGGAAGTTGAGAAATATAAGTTGGGAAACCCGCAATCCTTTCACTATCTTAACCAGTCAAAATGCTATGAGCTGGTTGGTGTGAATGACGGACTTGAATATCTTGCCACAAGGAGGGCCATGGACGTTGTTGGAATAAGTAAAGATGACCAGGTATAGTTTCTGTAATTTTGTTTTCCTTTTCTATTCAACCATATGGAAGAGCATAACCTCTCTCTTACTTTCTCATAGGAAGCAATTTTCAGAGTTACTGCTGCTATTCTTCATCTTGGCAATATTGCCTTCGCCAAAGGGAAAGAGGTTGATTCTTCAGTGTTAAAAAATGACACAGCTAAATTTCATCTTAAGATGACAGCTGAACTTCTTAGGTACGATTGGTTTTAAATCCCTAATAGTTTGCAAGTCCTTATTTTTGTTATATATGCTGATAAATTTATGAGCTTGTGTCAGGTGTGATGTTGCTGGCTTGCAAGATGCATTGTGCAAACGTGTGATGATCACTCCTGAAGAAGTTATTAAGAGGAGTCTTGATCCTGTTAGTGCGGCAATCAGCAGGGATGGTTTGGCTAAAACAATATATTCCAGATTATTTGATTGGTATGAAGCACTTAAATTCAGCAGTTCCATCAGAAAGTCCTATCGAGTAAAAACTTCTAGTGTTTAAGATTCCTTTTTCATTATTTTCAGGTTGGTTGACAAAATCAATGTATCAATTGGACAAGATGCTAATTCAAAATGTCTGATTGGCGTCCTTGACATCTATGGTTTTGAGAGCTTTAAGAACAACAGGTGGCATCCAAGCACATATTGTATTCTCTCCGTTCCAAAAAGAAGTGCTACCATTGTGACTTTGAGAAGTCAAGTTGGTTACTTTTTGAGTTAAAATGATCTCAATTGAATTTTTTTGAACGAAAATAGACAAGACATTGAACTTTAAAAAGAGCACCGATTATTGTAAAAAAAGGGGTTGATTAAGTAGCAAAGTTCATATCAATTTTCTATTTGAGAAGTAGTTGGTTTGACGTCAAGGAGTAGACTATTAGCTCTTTTTTGAGAATGTAGTACTGAATGCGGTGGGGGTGGCTCTATTGCCAGAGCAAGTTTAAAAGGTCCTGAACCAGTGTCCATAGGCAAAGCCCAAAGTATTTCTAATAGAGACAGAATTTATCTTTTAATTGCTTTATTTGCTTTTTGAAAACTAGTTGCTTTTGGCAATAGTCCAACTCACCATTCTGATTATAAGTCTACCCTCATCTAGTATCTGAGTTCTTTTTTATCTCAATCTCAATCTCAACATACACATGCAGCTTTGAGCAATTTTGCATTAACTTCACAAATGAGAAACTGCAGCAACACTTTAATCAGGTAATTGTCTAATCTTCTTAATCATTGTTAGCATGAGGTGTTGTTAAAGACTTAGAAAAAAGGTGACATGTTTGAAATTACAGCATGTCTTTAAGATGGAACAAGAAGAATATAAAAAAGAGGCTATCAATTGGAGCTACATTGAATTTGTTGATAACCAAGATGTTCTAGATCTCATTGAAAAGGTATAATCACTTTCAAGTGCATTTAACCCATTCATAGCTAAAAATGATCAGCTTATGTTTTTGTCCCTTCTTGCAATGATTATGAATATGTTATCTTTGTGCTTGTGTATGCGTGCATGAATGGGTACTTATGCACTAAAATATTCAAAATATTGGAAAATATTTAAAAATATCCTGAGACTTATTATTATCCTAATGATTTGTTAATTTGAGTATATATATGTAGTGTATACTTTATACACTCAAACCTTCTAGTATCCCCTAAAGTGTTGGGTAGGAGGTGTGTTTTCTTTTTTGACAGTGAAGAATCAGTAGAAGTTACCAAAGTATAATTTCATTTGCCAAAAGATATTTTAACTGCAATTACTCATTAAAGTGGCGATAAAGGCTTCTAGATTGTCATTTACATCATGGTTAACTCTAAACATTACTGTGTCTTCTAATATCAATTTTTTAATAGTGTGAGATGTGAGTTGATGCATGTTAAACATTGTTCTATGTGTGTTTTTAACTATTTGTTGGTGAGATGAACTAGTCTTTTAGTTTTGTTCTTTTTTGTGAACAGGGACTTTGTGTTTTCTGTTAATTGTTGAGTTTTTAAGTTGCCATGTCTTTGTTTGTTAATTGTTTGTTTTCAGTTACTACATATTCTAGTCTTTTTTTTTTTGAAGTAAAAGAAGCACTAGAATATTATTTTCTCTCTATTAATGCACAACATTATTGTGTGTGTAATGCATGTTGCCTAATTCTGCGCAATCATACAGGAATAGTAATGTTGAAGTCCCATTCCATACACATGCATGACCTCTATGAAGTTAGATCAATTATCAATCATAAAGTGTTTTGTCATCCACTAAAATGAGTAAGATCACAAAATTATATAGTGAAGGGATCATATGGAATGCAAACTGGTGGAAATAAAATGTCCCAACAATTCCAGGGGTACCCTGACCCCCTCAAAACGTTGTTTTCAGTTTTCAATTGCATCATGAATTGGTTTAAGAACAAATTAAGAGGAAATTGTTCTTTGGGTTTCTATGTATGCATAAACTCTATGATATCTACCCACAATTTTCATTCTTTAGTTTATACAGTGGTTTGCCAAATTTGAGTACTGTATTATTCATTATTTCAACTATATAATTACCCTAAATTGTATTTATATTGCAGAAACCTGGTGGTATCATTGCTCTCCTTGATGAAGCTTGGTATAACATACTCCCTGACTTTCAAGTTTTTTATTTCATTCTCAAATACTGCAAGTGGTTGCCAAGAAATGGTTACAAAATTTATATTCCTTCATTACCTTTTTCAATTCTCAGCTAGTGCAGATTCAAGTGATCTTATTTAGAATTCTTTCGCAAGGATGCTATATCTCTAACTATTGTGTAGAACTTTTGTTCTTTTATCTCACCAATGGATCTACTTTCAGCATGTTCCCAAAGTCGACACATGAGACATTCTCAAATAAGCTTTATCAGACTTTCAGAAATCACAAGCGCTTCATCAAGCCCAAGTTGTCACGCACAGATTTCACAATTGCACATTATGCTGGAGAGGTATGTATTTCTAGACAAACTGTGCTTGTAGCTGTTACGCAATTTGCTTGATATAATAGTATTTTGTTTTTTAGGTTCAATATCAATCTGATCAATTTCTTGACAAAAATAAAGATTATGTGGTCCCTGAACACCAAGACTTGTTGAGTGCTTCCAAATGTTCCTTTGTAGCCGGCCTTTTCCCTCCGGTAGCTGAAGAGTCGTCCAAATCTTCTAAATTTTCATCAATAGGTTCCCGTTTCAAGGTATCTTTACTTAAATCATTATCATGTTAGTGTGCTCAGAACTTTGAAAAAGAGAAGAGTAATATGTTAATATGCAATTTTGACCTTCTCAGTTTGACTGTAGAGGATGGCATAATTCTACCCCTCAAAAGAATTGTGAGTTACCTCACTATGCATGTTGGTTTGCTAACATGCAACTCTATGCTGATGCAGCTTCAATTGCAACAACTGATGGAGACACTAAATGCTACAGAACCTCATTACGTTAGATGTGTGAAACCAAACAATAAACTGAAACCTGCCATATTTGAGAACATGAACATCTTGCAACAATTGCGATGTGGTGTGAGTATATTAAATTGTTTTATCATCTATTGTATGCCAAGCGTTGCATCCTTTCTTTTTCCTTTGTATGTGACTAATTATTCTCTTCTTAGGGTGTTTTAGAAGCAATCAGAATCAGTTGTGCTGGTTATCCTACCCGTCGTCCTTTCTTTGAGTTTATAGACAGATTTGGACTTCTTGCACCAGAAGCCTTGGCAGGAAGGTAAGAGTTCTTCTTCACCCTGAAATGCAACAGTGGATGAACTTATGTTGGTTGCTTATCATATTCCATATATCTTCCATGCTTTTCCTGGTCATATCTCTTGATTTGAGTTGTTTTATATCTTTAGTAACTTTGACGAAAAGATGGTATGTGCAAAGATCTTGGAAAAGATGGGGCTCAGCGGCTTTCAGGTAATTACTGAGATCTTTTTCGGTTATAAGGAATAACTACAGTTTCATATGTTGGATACACACTAGATCTTGTAAGTGATATTTTCTAGGCATGCAACATGCTGAGTGGTTACTGTTGCTGAATTGGAACACTTCTGCATGGCTTTGGGAACCCATATTGAGTATGGATATATGTTAAGTTGTGATTTATTTGTCCAATTCGAATTCTAGAATCTAAGGCTACAATCTCTTTGGGTTAGGGTTTAGGTAGATACCTTATTACTCAATATAATTATACCAACTCTTTTTCTTTCTCTGTAACACAACGCATTTGGGATTACACTTATTTATATCTGACTGTCACATAATATATGACTAGCGTCATTGCATATTTTTACTATACATAAGGCTTCGTCATTGTAATTATACCAACTCTTTTTCTTTCTCTGTGGATGTCGTGCACTTTTATGAAATATGAGCCTCGTAGAAGTTTCTTGTTGGTGCTTAAGCTTCAACCTCAACTAATTGAACTCTGGTTGACAGCATATTTTTTTATGCAGATTGGTAAAACGCAGGTATTCTTGAGGGCTGGCCAGATGGCTGAATTAGATGCAAGGAGAGCCCAGGTCCTTGGTGGTGCAGCAGCAATTATTCAAAGGCGGATACGAACCTATATTTCTCACATGCAGTTAAATGCATTGCGCACGAGTACAATTTTCTTACAATCTTACTGTAGACGTGAGCCTCTGGAGTATCCTTTACTTGATCAAATCTTAGATTTTATGGCATCCTTCAACACTAGAATTCATATGTTCTATTTTTCAACTGTTTCTCCAAGCTATAAGCACATAGTAATAACTGATGGACTTTTAGGTAGTTTGGCTTGCAAACAGTATGACAAACTGAAAAGGATCGCAGCTGCTATAAAAATTGAGAAGCACATACGTAAATGGCAAGCTTGGGTAGCCTATAATAGGCTCCGGGTGGCAGTGCTTGTAGTTCAAACATATGTAAGAGCAACGGAGGCTCGTAAGAGATTCAGACACCGGAAGGAAACTATCGCTGCAATTAAAATTCAGGTTAATCTTAAAAAACTGGCACACAATTTTTTCATTTTTGTGTTGTATAAACTGAGCAATTAATATGTCTTCTATCTGATTAGACTCGGTGGCGTTGTCATAAAAATTCTGCATACTATAAAAGACTCAAGAAAGGATCCATAGTTACACAATGCAGATGGAGGGGAAGGGTTGCAAGGAAAGAGCTACGCAAACTTAAAATGGTCAGTTTGGATAAGTATTTGATATCATATTCATAATATTATTTAGTACAAATGTTTAACAATGTGCCTTCCCTGGTTGTAAGGTTTCTCCACTAATGAGGCAGGGTGGTCTTTAATGGACTTCATGAGCTATTTTCTGGGTTGTATTTTTCTTTTATTAATTCTGTAGTTTGAGAAAGAACAAAGTATGGAACAATACAATATCTATAAAAGTACTTCACTTTTGCATCTGATGGTAAGTTACTTCCACATTCATGCCTCTTAGAATTTGATTATAAATGCCAACTGCAGGCTGCACAGGAAACAGGTGCACTTAAAGAAGCAAAAGATAAGCTCGAAAAACAATTGGAGGAACTAACATGGCGTTTACAGCTGGAGAAACGTTTAAGGGTAATATATTGTCATATATCTAATAACGTAAAAATATTACACCTTTTCTTTGAAAAGTCTGTAATGTGGCCTACAATATTATGCGAAGTCCTGAAAGACGACGTGGTTCCCATCCTTAGTGATATGACCCCAAGAATTGTCTGTACCGTAAAACATTATAGTTATGATACCCATATTCTGATGGCTAAGCTTGAGCTCATATCTCCAGATTGACTTGGAAGAAGCAAAAGCACAAGAGGCTATCAAATTTCAAAATTCTCTGGAAGCTATGCAAAAAAAACTTGATGAAGCTACTGCAATGGCAGTTGAGGAAAGAGAGGCAGCCAGAAAAGCTATCGATGAAGCACCCGCAGTTGTTGAGGAAAAAGAGATAGTCGTTGAAGATACTAAGAAAGTTGAATCCCTGACTGCAGAAGTCAATGAATTGAAGGTAAGCCATCTATATGTAGTTTCCTCTTTTATTCTGGTATATCAATTGCAGACTCTTGTTATAATAAAAATAGTTGCTAAGGCATCCAACCTGGTCTTTTCTATTTATGTTTTGGTGATGGAATCATAGGGACCAAGTATAGATTGTGATAGAGACCAAAAGGGTGGGGCAACAAGTAGATTTATTTCTTACATCCAAACAGGTATAAGTTGATGTACGGTGGCGTGTTGAACTGTGTATCAATGCGTGAAACAACATTTTGCAGCTGCAGTGTAAACCTCAAACTGTACATGAGCTCTATTCCGCAATTAATGGAGGAACAGAAAGATGAGAAAAATATATGATAGTGAGACCAAATTGAAAGAAGAACCAAGAATGGACCATTTTCAGTTGGTTTCTATTGAATAACTCATCACCTACTTGATATTTATGCACAAAGTGGAGGAATTAGTTGCTAAGTACCTTCTTATCACAACTAGCTTTAACTGACCAACAAGAGAGAGGATAAACTTATGTATAGGTTCTTTAGCATACTGATAGTCACATTCCTAATTCCTTTAACAATTCTATAGTCATTATACAAAGACTTCATAGCTCCTTCGGCTTCATCATTTGTTTTTCTTTAGGGTGCCATTGTTGGACGCTATTTTTTCTTATCTCGATAGTGATGCTCAAGGCATTTTAGGTTTGATAGGTGCAATTTTTGAAACACTGTTTACTTTTGTAGTTTTTCAAATTTCAATATTTTCTTTTCAAATTGTACTATTCCAAAATTATTTACTTATTCGATTTTTTATTGAACATTAATATATGATTAGTGCAAGGACAGGACTCTGGACGACATAAACCGACTAACCATGCCATCTTAAATCGCAATAGTCTTCCCTATACATCTGAGAGTACCTTTAAGTCTGGCTATAAGACTGGCAAATGAGTCACTTGGGTCATTTTAACAGAGAACATACCGTTTGCAACCAATATCCTTTTAGAATAAATCGGCAAAAATAAAAACAATAGGGTAAACGATCAAGAACCTATTCACTTGAGAATCGTGTAAGAGATCACTTTCCGAATTGATATTTCGACCCTATGCCTGGGTTACACGAAATTCAATATGAGATAAGATTCAAGAGAGCACTTTCGTTTTTAGGCACAAAACGAGGGCCAACTAGCTGGAGAGTATATAGCATTGTTCAAAATCCCGTATTCATAAACATAAGCATAAAATATATTTATACTCGTAAAAATAACCGAAATGATAATCATGGCTCAATTTTAGGAGTAGTGGACAATTATAAAACTGCACATTAAAAGTAGTGGACAGTTATAAAAACTGCTCATTAATAGTAGTGGATAGTTACAAAACTGCTCTAACCGTTCCTGACATGAAGCCAGAGGCAAGACCAACCAAAGCCCCTCTGGTCTCAACTAGAGCTTTTGGTCTTAACTACATGAAACAAGGCCAGCCAGAGCCCGTCTGGTCTAACCAACTTAACAACTAGAGGCAAGGAACCAGAGCTCTGGCCTCATCAACCAGAGCTTATGGTCTTCACAACCAAAATTAAGGCGAATCAGAGCCGCTCTGGTCCTTCTGATCAGGTTTTCCACTACATTGCCAGGGGCACCGCCCGTTAACTCCCACTGGGGTTATACTCGTCTTATAACAAGTGTGCACTCCGCACCTCCTAACTTGTATTAGAACACAGTATAAAACCCCCTTTCGATGTTATTTCCAATTACACTTAAATGACCTGGTGACACTAAAATCACTAACAATCCTCCCCCTTTTTAGTGTAACCCATGAAATAACACTTCAAAAAATGAACAAACCAAACCTGCACATAAATGAAAATATCGAATCGACTGAATTTCCATGTTAGTATTTTACACATTTCAAATATTCGAGAATCAAGGTGTCCTGAGGATTGAACCCATCAATCCATTTGAATGCCTGAAGATAAAATACATACAAGTTTAGAGTACTCGTCTAACAAAATCAAATGACACTATTATAAAGTCGTGTGTCCTAATCCTCTCATGATTGTATAAAGGGCCAAGTTGAAGTGCGGCTACACTTCACGATCACATAGGTAATTCCTTTATTCATGTATCTACTTACATTTTATCAAATGAATTATTAAGAATAAATTCAACCTTTCAACTATAGGTCCGAACGCACTAACCTGGGATGATATCAAACATGTGTTCCAAATCCAAAAGTGTGAGCTTTCCACATTGAATTCAGCCTCTAATGCCATATTAAGAGGCGAATTGGATATCTCACCATTAGGGATTTAAATAGACTTTAAACCCATCCCACTCACCGACTTGTGCACTAAATCCCTGGCCAACCTCTTCGTGAGATGGTCCGCTAAATTATGTTGCGACCTTACAAACTCCATCGAGATCACACCATTCATGATTAATTCTCTAATCATGCTATGTCTAAGACCAAAGTGGCCACACTATCACAATGGATAGAAATAGGTGCAATCAGCTTTGAACACAATGGAATCTCATAAACTAAGTTTCTTAGCCATTCTGCTTTCTTACCGTCCGCGGCTAACAAAACAAACTCATATTCCATCGTTGAGTTTGTGATGCAAGTTTGCTTCTTGGATGCCCATGAAATGGCACCTCCCACGAGCAAAAATACCAAACCACTTGTAGAAGAGTGATCCTCTACATTGGATATTCAACTTGCGTCCGAATATCCTTGTAATACCGAAGGATATCCAAGATAACACAAACCATAATCCATATTTCATTTTAAATACTTAAATACTCGCTGAATTGCTTGCCAATGTTGAGCACTAGGATTACTAGTATACCGGCTCAACCTTCCAACGACATAAGCAATGTCGGGTCGGGTGCTTGTCATGGCGTACATTAAGCAACCTATAGCTTGTGAGTATTCTAATTGTGAAATAGTCATGCCTTTATTAGGCATCAATTTCATACTTGGATCCATAGGAGTGCTCACGAGTGAACAATCATTATAATTGAACCTCTTGGAATTTTCTCAATATAATGTGATTGTGTCATCGCAATCCCTTTATTCACCCGCTTAATCCTTATACCATGGATCACCTCAGCCTCCGCCATGTTCTTCATGGAAAACCTTGATGACAACAAATTTTTGGTCTCATCAACTTGATGTTGATCCGTACCAAATATCAACATGTCGTCTACATAGAGACAAATGATCACACCGGCACCGGAAGATTTAAACCGACTATATACACATTTGTCGGATTGGTTTAGGGTAAAACCACTTGACAAAATTACCTCATTAAACTTTTGATGCCATTGTTTAGGGGCTTGCTTCAGCCCGTACAATGATTTTACAAGTTTACATACTTTATGCTCATTACACATGATAAAACCTTCCGGTTGTTTCATGTAAACTTCCTCGTCAAGATCACCATTTACGAAGGCCGTTTTGACATCCATTTGATGGATAGTCAGATTTTGGATAGCCGCCAGGGCAATCAACAACCTGATGGTAGACGCCAGGGCAATCAACAGCCTAATGGTAGATATACGAGCTACCGGTGCATATGTATCAAAATAGTTGATACCGGGTTTTTGCCTAAACCCTTGTATGACCAACCGGGCTTTGAACTTGTCAATGGTCCCATCTACCTCATCTTCTTCTTAAATATCCATTTGCAACCTAAAGGTTGTGAACCTGGTGGCAAATCCGACGATACCCAAGTATTGTTTTCTAAAATCGACGACATTTCGTCATCAATGGCCTCTTTCCAAAAGGCAACATCCCGGGATTCCATGGCCTCTTTGAAGGTCTTAGGATCATCCTCAACATGATAACAATAAGAATATTGCAGCCCCACTTCGTCCCTCGAACCCTCAACCAAATACAATTGAAAGTCGGGACCAAATTTTTCCGCAACTCGGCCTCTTTTGCTTTTCTGGGGCTGCTGTGTTTCTGGGGATGAAACATCATCCAAAGTTTCTGGATTTTCCATCTCACTGCTGCTAGGAAGCAGGTCTTTAGGCCTTTGAATCGAAGAAAAACACAGCTCATCGAAAATAGCATCGCGCGACTTTATTACGGTGTTTATCGACACTGAACCATTGGGTTCTATTACATAGAACCTGTAGGCCTTGGAATTTTGTGCATAACCAATAAATATCTATTCCTTTTCCCCCAAAGTTTTCCTCTTGGGTTTGAGTAGTTTTACAACAGCCCCCAAACCCGAAAATAACTCAAATTTGGAGCCTTTTTGAACTAAAGCTCATACGGGGCTGTTTTGTTCCTTTTATTTGGAACTCTATTTAATACATAACAACCCGCTAACATGGCTTCTCCCTGAAAACCCGAGTAAGAAAGCATCGAGTTCAAAGGTCAAAAGTACCAGGAGGTCTCAGGTTCAAATCCAATGAGGAATAAAAATTCCCTTGTGGCCACGGAGGTTCAAATGCGGTGACTCCGGGCTATCTGCAAAGCAGGTGGTCGCCTTGGGATTAGTCAGCTCGCATAATGGGTTGGATATCCAGGTTAATCAAAAAAAAAAGCATCGAGTTAACCATTTCCTTTAAAACTCGATTTTTTCTTTCGGCTACACCATTTTGTTGTGGTGTGTAAGGAGCCGTCATCACATGGATAATTCCAATGGATTGAAAGTATTGGGTCCATATATTTCCCTCCTCTATCCATTCTAAGACTTTTAATTGAATTGCTTAATTGCAATTCCACTTCAATTTTGTATATTTTAAACTTTTCCAAAGCTTCGTCTTTGGAATGCAATAAATACACATAGAAAAACTGACTTGAATCTTCAATAAAAGTAACAACATACTTATTATTTCCTAATGAGGGAGTAGAGTGGAAATCGCGTAGCTCACTGTGAATCAAATCCAAAACACCCGAATTTCTATGCACATTCGGAAAAGGTTGTTTTGTAATTTTTGTAAGCATACAAGTCTTACATTTTTCAGCACTAATGTTAAAAGCTGGAATTAATCCATCTTTAGACATTTCATGCATTTTCCTAAAGTTCATGTGACCTAATACGGCATGCCAAAGCATAGAAACATTCGACTTGCAAGTAGAGGTCATAAAAAGGAAATTATCACAGGATGCCACAATATTTAAACGAAATAAACGATCGCATAAATAACCAAATCCGATAAAACTACCATTCTTGGATAGGCTATACCTATCCGATTCAATAACTTGTCTATAGCCTAGAGAGTTCAACATACTACTCGAAACAAGGTTCTTTCGAACCTTCGGGACATACAAAACATCAAATAAAGAATTTTTTTTCCGGAAGTAAATTCTAAATTAATAACACCACGCCCAACAATCGGCTTCACCGACTCATCTCCCATCTGCAAGTAGGACCCGTCATCAACCGGTTCAAGCTTCTCGAACCAAGACTTGTCCTTGCAAACATGGGTAGTCGCCTCCGAATCAATCCACCAAGAGTTTTCATCCTCCTGTATATCACAAATTTATGGAATTAGTGAAATATAATTCTGGACAGAATCATCAAGATCATTTACAAACTGATCTCCGGGTGGTCCTTGGTCCTTAGACCCACCACCACTGCTATCACTAGTTCCTGCACTGTTTTTGTTGAGCTTCACACAACAATCACGCTTCATATGGCCAATTGTTTGACATCTCCAAAACCAACTCTTTAGGTTTCTTGTTGGCTTTGTATGGCCTTCATGCTTGCGTTTTTTATCTTTTCCTTTGTGGTTTTGTCCAGATCTTTTCTCTTCCACAACATGGACAGCGGGCTATCCAACTTCAGATTTTCCGTGGTTCTTGTCACTTTCTTGCACACGAAGGGATTCTTCTATGCGCAAATGACTTCCTAACTGAACCAGGGTCATCTCCTCCTTTTGATGTTTCAACGTATGCTTGAAGTCCTTCCATGAAGGGGGAAGTTTGTCAATTACATTTGACACCACAATGGATTCGTCCATATTCATCTCGTGAAGTGTAAATTGACCAAGAATACGTAACAATTCATTATATTGTTCCATAACAGGCCTTGAATCTACCATCTTGTAGTTATTGAAATCGCTTACCACGAACTTCTTACTCGAAGCATCTTTAGCGATATGCTTCAACTCAAGTGAATCCCACAACTCCCTAGCACTATCAGCATTCTGGTAGATATCAAATAAAGCATCAGACATACCGTTCAAAATATGACCCCTACAGATGTAGTCATCGTTCTCCCACTTGCTTCTCCTCCTCGTATGATCCAAAGTCTCGTCCTCCATCACTTCGGCATTGGGGTACTCGGCACATAAACGACTTTCAGAGTCGTAAGCAGAAAATGCATCTTCTTCTGCCAGCGCCTAAAATCGACTCCTTCAAACTTCTCCGGCTTTCCGATCCTCGAGGTCATCTCTTTCATAGAATCGGCCATGATCGACATTTAAAATATCAATTCGATTGTTAGAATAAATCAACAAAAATAAAAACAATAGGGTAAACGATCAAGAACCGGATCACTTGAGAATCGTGTAAGAGATCACTTTCCGAATTGATATTTCGACCCTATGCCTGGGTTACACGAAATTCAATATGGGATAAGACTCAAGAGAGCACTTCCATTTTTAGGCACAAAACGAGAGTCAACTAGCTGGAGAGTATATAGGATTGTTCAAAATCCCGTGTTCATAAACGTAAGCATAAAAGATATTTATACTCATAAAAATAACCGAAATGATATCATGGCTCAATTTTAGTAGTAGTAGACAGTCATAAAACTGCACATTAAAAGTAGTGGACAGTTACAAAAACTGCTCATTAATAGTAGTGGACAGTTATAAAACTGCTTGAACCGTTCCAGACATGAAGCCAGAGGCAAGACCAACCAGAGCCCCTTGGGTCTTAACAACCAAAAGCAAGGCCAACCAGAGCCCCTTTGGTCTAACCAACTTAACAACCAGAGGGAAGGAACTAGAGCTCTGGTCTCACCAACCAAAGCTTCTGGTCTTCACAACCAGAAGTAAGGCGAATCAGAGCCTCTGGTCCTTCTAATCAGGTTTTCCATTACATTGCAAGGGGCCCTGCCCCTTAACTCCCACCGAGGTCATACTCGTCTTATAACAAGTGTGCACTCCGCACCTCCTAACTTGTATTAGAACACAATATAAAACCCCCCTTAGAACTCGATGTTACTTCCAATTACACTTAAATGGCCTGGTGACACTAAAATCACCAACATATCCCCTTTCCAACTAGAAGACCAGCAAGATCTCATGTCACATTAGCCTTGCAAACAAATACATATTCTCATGCATTTCTTTATGCCATTCTTGCTCCGCACATATCAAAGAAGCTAAGATAAAGGTACGCTGATCTGAATATAAGTCCGCATAAGAAATATGATCATAAATACAGTAACCAAAATGAAATAGGGTTAGCAACACAACTTCATTTTTTCTCTTCGTTGGGCAATTGGAACTTAATTTGACTTGTTAGGAAGCTGAATCGACCACTAGTGTTGTTAAAAAGCTTGTACTAAGAGTAAGATGTTAGGATGTGCAAGGATAGAGACATCTGGACCACATGATTTTTCACTATGATGAGTAGGAAAATATGTCTCATAATAGTCTTCCCGATGCGTCTGAGAGGCAAATGATTCAGTTGGGTTCATTTTAACACAGAAGACCCATTTGCAATCAATAAGATGCATTCTAGCGGGAAGATTAACAAGATCCCATGTTCGATCAGACTTAAGGGCATGCATTTCCTTATGTATTGCTTAACATCATTCTGAGGACCTGAATGCTCCTAAGCCTCAGCCACAAGTCGGAGAAGCTAAGACGAAGGCATGGTGATTAGAAGATAGGTTAGCATAAGACACAAGTCGGAGAAGGCGAGAGAAAAATGGACTAAAAATTAGGCTGGCACAAGTCGGAGAAGGCGAGAACAAAATATCTTTATCCCCTGTCATATGATCTGAAGCAATGGTATTGATAATCTTTCATGGTGAAAAAACATTTGCGCAAGTGGATTACCTAATTGCACCATGGATGCTTTCAGAGTAGCATGTTCCTCAGAAGCACGATACGACTTTATTGGCTTCAGTTCTTCATTGAGTTGGGGGCTGATGTAAAAGCAATGTGCGCTCCACTAACTGAACCATGCTGTAATCAAGGCATGGCCACTTTAGATGCCTTCTGTTTGTGACAAATCTTTTTGTCCAGCATCTCTAGCTCTATCAGTGTCTTTTTAAGATGTTCTCCTAGCACCTCCGCGGCAAGATCCTCTACTAAACCATGTTTCTCTTTTGCCAAGTAGTCCACAGGGTCCATGCAAAGTACTCTCTCCGCATAGATCGGGGTAAATTTCAGGCCTTTTGGTCCACGGGTGTAGCTTCTATGGAATTGATAGCACTTAGACCTGATATGAGGCATGGAGTCTAAGTGAATTACCACTGGGTCATCCCCTTGGGGTTGGTTTTATTTGTTGATGAGACCCTTCATGTTTTCGGTAGTTGAAGAAGAGAAGGTTGCATTTGATTGCATGCAAAATTTATATGCATTTAGAGCAAGTTCTCTTACAATATTATTGAGGAGATTGACGTCTTCTGTATGATTTTAGGAATCATTTATTGAATATCCTCTGCTTCAACCTCCCTTGTAGTCACTAAATACTTGCTCTTTTCATTGCTTAGTAATTGATGATCAAATATGCTGCTAGACATCTCTGTGTGTGTGAGCAGCAAGGAATCAAAATTTTGTCACATGTCTCTCTAATGAGCCTATATCAAATGGAAGTGGTGAAATTAGGGAAAAGGGGTTTACTGGAAATATTGTAGCTTTTATTTAAAATTGTTCACCTGAAGGATAAAACTATGGAAATGAATAGCAGCAGCTGAAGAATATGTAGTATATGGATTTCTTTACTCCTTATATTATATGAATTACCCAATTATTCATGCATATCCATCATGATCATTCCCTTGCTGTGTTGATGAACTTGATTGGTCTTTCTGTAGGCTAATCAATTTCGTTTTGACTAACAGGACTTCCACAGGGTGTAATTCTAGCGAATATTTGTGTTAAGCTTTTGAAATTATATTTAAATTTATTGGTTGATGTTTTACCTCTTTTTTGCCTATGCAGGCCTTGTGGCAGTCAGAAAAGCAGCGTGCTGATGATCTTGAAGAACTTAGTGAAGAAAGACGAAAGAAGTTGGAAGAAACAGAAAAGAAAGTTGTTCAACTACAGGAATCTATGAGCAGGTTGGCAGACACAAACTCCGAGTTTTTCATCTTGACTAAGTTTTCAGTTTCTATAAACTACATTTAACATGTTCTTGTTACATTCTGAAGTCCAACATGAGTGATGTGTCCCATAAATTGCTTAGCTAATTGTTACAACGACTTTGTATAATTCTTCCAGAACACCTGAACTTTAAATTTTACATTTATTTTTGTTTTTGGAGGTATGTGTTGTACCCTGGTGGTCAAATATTCAATATAGTAGGTTGTGGTACAAGGGGCTAATGCACTAGTACATGTGGGTAATTCAGGGGTTTGATGCTGCTGAAATGGCTCTTTACGTACTCTCGTTTAGTCCAAGTTAGTCTAAATCCTGACATCCCATGAGTTTGCATCAGTCTAGTATCGCATCAAGACATGTATCAGGCTGTAATTTCTGAGATCATTCATGAAAATATCGAAGTGATAATGTTTTCATAAGTACGTGTGTTTGTGTTCATCTCATTATCTGAAAGATGGAAAGGACTGCATCTTATATTCCATTAGATTTGTTCGTTGAACTTCTTTATTCTATCCAGGCTCGAAGAGAAGCTAAACAACTTAGAATCAGAGAACAAAGTCTTCCGCCAACAAGCGGTGTCCATGGCACCGAACAAGTTCCTCTCAGGCCGTTCTAGATCTATTATTCAGGTATTTTCGCAATTTTTTTTGTTAAAAAAATTGGCATATAACAACACTTGTGTGCTTCGTGATTGTTTGATCTTGAACTCTTTGCAGAGGAATGACAGTAGTAGTCATCTAACTGGAGATACAAAGTCATCTCTGGTATTGTTTCTCTTGACCTTGATGCTAAAAAGTTACAGCAATGTGGTCGCTGAATTATATCTTTCACTCTCAGCTATTAATTACATGTTTCATTGTTTGTGTATGTATTAGGATCATAGCCCTTCAATGAACCAAAGGGATCTTGCAGAAATAGATGACAAACCACAAAAATCACTTAATGAGAAACAGATGGAGAATCAGGAGTTGCTTATCCGATGCATTGCACAACATCTAGGCTTTGCAGGGAACAGACCTATAGCAGCCTGTATCATTTACAAATGCCTTCTTCAATGGAGATCTTTTGAAGTTGAGAAAACAACTGTTTTTGACCGTATCATTCAGACTATAGGCAATGCAATAGAGGTTCCAGCCATTTCCCAATAATCTTAATTCTTGTTCTTTTATCAATATTTTGTACTAACTCTTCTTTATATTTTATTTAATTAAAGAAAACCCAGGATAACAACGATGTATTGGCCTACTGGTTGTCCAATGCCTCTACTCTTTTGCTTCTACTCCAGCGCACGCTGAAAGCAAGTGGTGCAGCATCTGGAACAGTTCCGCCGCGTCGTCGATCGTCAGCTGCTCTTTTTGGGAGGATGACTTCTGTAATTTCATAAATTTTATTTTAATGTTTGGAATGTGATCCAAAGCTTTATTGCTGTTGTTGCTTAACGGTCTTCCTTTTTTCTCGTTAGAGTTTCCGTGGAAGTCCTCTAGCAGCCGAGCTTTCCTTTGCGAATGGTCCCTTTGCGAATAGTGGCCTGAGTAGTAGCGGAGTAGTAGGCGTTAGCAAAGTGGAAGCCAAGTATCCAGCTTTGGTTTTTAAGCAGCAACTTACAGCATATGTTGAAAAGATATATGGAATGATTCGAGATAATTTAAAGAAAGAGATATCTCCATTGCTGGGGATGTGTATTCAGGTAATTTGATCAGTTTCACTTCTAATGTCGGTTTTTTATGTTAGAAATTAGCATGTACTAATTGGTATGCTGAATGAAAGGCACCAAGAATTTCCCGAGCGAGCCTAGTGAAGGGATCATCGCGTTCAGTTTCTAATACAGCTCAGCAAACACTGATTTCTCACTGGCAAGGAATTGTGAAGAGTCTCGGAAGTTTCTTGAACATTTTTAAAACAAATCATGTTAGTGGAACTTCAGTTTTTATCGATCTTCTATTCTTTGTTCTTCATATTCCTACTAACTTCAAAATGTAAGTTTGTTAACTTTTACCCATACATGTCTGGTTTCGTAAAATATTATTAGGTACCGCCAGTTTTGGTCCGTAAAGTTTTCTCACAAATATTTTCATTCATCAACGTTCAACTTTTTAACAGGTTTACCCTCTTTTTCTTGGAGCATACTTCTCTGATGTCAATACCCACATGCAAGATATGATTTTTCTTTTCCTTTTTTTCTTTTCCTTTTTTTCTTTTCTACTTCATGATGCAGCCTACTTTTGAGGCGTGAATGCTGTTCGTTCAGTAATGGTGAATATGTCAAAGCAGGACTGGCTGAACTAGAACACTGGTGTTTCAATGCAACTGATGAGGTATTTCTGGAGTAACACTTTCCGTATTGTTTTGTACTTGTACTTGCTAAACAAAAGAAGTGCAGTATGCAGGTTCAGCTTGGGATGAACTGAAGCATATACGTCAGGCTATTAGTTTTCTGGTTAATTCTCTTCCTAAATCATATTAAGCCTTCTGTTCGGTTCATTCTGGTTTTGAGAAGTCAATAATTGTATGAAATCTGTTTCAGGTTTTGCATCAAAAGTCAAAGAAAACCCTGGATGAAATAAGTCATGACCTCTGCCCAGTGAGTCATATATATTGTTGTAATTACTTCTACCATTACATCTGTCTCTGGGATAAAATAGATATTCAAAAAATTTGTCAACAGGTTCTTAGCATACAGCAGTTGTATCGGATCAGTACAATGTACTGGGATGACAAGTATGGCACACACAGTGTCTCCTCAGAAGTAAGTTTCTATCTAGCTATGTGATTACTTTGAGTCATTTTCTTAAGAGCATATGCCTTAAATTCCATCATTTAGGTTATATCCGTCATGAGGGATTCGATGACTGAAGAAAATAATGTCGTAAGCAATACTTTTCTGTTGGATGATGATTCCAGGTTAGTTACTTTCTGATATGTAGTCAGGTTATTCTTTTAAAGGGAGGTTCAGGCGAAACCCCAAAAAAATGAAAAAAAGGAAAAAACCCTAATAACCGCTCATTTGTATAGTATACACATGTGCATACAAGTAACTGAAGATGTTTCCTGGTCACCGTAACTTACAATTACTTGTATGCACATGTGCATACCTTACAGATGAACAGTTACTAGAGTGTTCCTCAATTTTTCCTTTTCTTGGGGGTTTCCTCTAAACCTGGCCCTATTATTTTGTTCCCTCAAGTAGGATACTTAGGTTTAATGCCTGTTCGTCTAAGAGAATAACAATTTTCCTAGGCAAATTATAAGCATTGACAAGGTTCCAGTTTCTGCTAAAAGGATGTTGCTTATGCATGAAAAATATCAATGGAAGTGTGATCATAAAAATGACAATTTTTTAGGAATCCTTGTTTCTCATAAAGGGGAGGGGGATGAAATAACCAATCCCCAGTTTTGATCTATTTGATATTTCTATCAAAGTGTTCAAGATAGGGAATAGAATACATCTACTCTACCCTCTAACGTAGAATTCAGAAGGAATGGTATATGAAGGAGTCTGGTTTTCCTAGTTCAGCTAAAAGTAGGAACATTGTTTTGTTGGGACTCTTGAAATTGTTGAACTCTTCCTTTTGATAAGAAATGTCTGACTAGTGGTCACATGTCTAACATAGGGCCTGTTTGTTTGCAGCTTAATGAGCTTAACAGGACTCACAGCTTATTCGGTCAGCTATACATAACTTTTTGGTAGTGGCTTAATGATATAGAAAATGGCTTATTCAGTAAGCTTCTAGGGGGAGTTTTATGCAGAAAACCAAGTTTTTTTCCAAATATGCCCTTTCCAATTAAAAAACATGCTCATTCCATCCATGAAAAAACCCCACCCAAACAAAAACCTTCGCAGTTTATACAAATAGACTAATCCATTCCAACAGCTTTATCCATACAGGACTTAATGGAAAACCAACCAAACAACCCCATACCCTTTGATGATGATAAGAAATACGGGAAAAAAATATGGGCCAAAATCAACACCGTAAATAATTTATAATCTAGGAAGTTGGGATCCCTCGTCGAATACCCAAGTTGTTAACCATGACTTGGCACATAAAGCACAGCTAACCTAAGCGGGGGGGCAGGATCAATGACCCAAGGTTTGGGAACCAAGGAACAGACACATGGTGGACTTTTGAAGGAATTGTTTGACTACTACACATATCTAGAATATCTTTCAGTAAATGTTAAACAGATCAATCTTATGAACTAAAATAAATGCAATCAATAAGTATTTGTTACGATAATCTATGAGAAATATGTGATTCTAATAGAAATCTCAGACATTGATGTTGGTGATGTTTTGTATGCAGCATTCCGTTTTCAGTTGATGATATATCAAAATCAATGGATCAAATAGAAATCTCAGACATTGAGCCTCCACCTCTAATTCGTGAGAACTCAGGATTCAGCTTTCTGTTGCCACGTATCGAGAATCACTGACAGATCTTGCTGGTTGATGGTTCTTAGTCAGACGGCCCTTTTAGGCTGTAATTGGCCACATCTCTGCACCGATGTTTGTTCTGAAGAAATGATGCCATTTGTTAATGGTTTTGGAGACACCATTGAGCTACATTTGCTCGCAGTTTCTCAATATTTTGTTACTTGATAGTATGTTGTACAAATAGCAGTCTTTTTGGCCACGTATGTCTTTTACGTCAGACGAAAAGGTACATATGAATACAAGCACATGTTGTTATAGCTGGGGATAATTGCACAATGGGCATCTTATCTCCAGACCCCACCTTTATATGCCCTTTGTGAACTTTTGTCATCGATATCATTTATGAGGTATTTTTTCATAACCATGAAAAGATCGACTCTTTAACATAGGTGTAATGTTGTTACGACTGTTGACTAGTATGTATTGATGCTACCGTTGTGGATTGAACTTATATTGGTACAAATTGAATGGCACATACAGGGGACGTTTGGTTTGACGGAATGTTGTTAGAGATTTGGAATCTTTGATGTGTTCGATTTGTAGGACTTGGAATGGACTTAAATTCCATATTTTATAGATAAATTTATAAAAACAAATCATAAATAATTATAGTTTAGTTTTTATTAATTGATTAATACAAAATGAATGTTTTAAACATATTTTAACGCATTATTAGAAATAAATCATAAAAAATACACTTATGAGATTTCTAAATTCAATGTTTGTGCAATTTTACTGAAATCCCAGAAATTCAATTCAATGGTCACATTTTAACCGAACATCCCCTTAATATTGAATGCTAGATTGCTTTGAGAATATTCCCCTTTGGCCATTTACCTGATGTGTAGATAACTCAGTTGACCATTTACCTAATGTATAAATAACTCAGCCACCTAAATTTTTGAGATATCACATGACATGCAAGATACCAAAATCAAAGTTCTGAATGTACATTACCTAAAAAAGAACCAGATCAAAATACGATGCATTTTCATACAATTTTCCCTATAAAGTGCAGGTGTACAATAGTTAGTATAAATGTATATGTATAAGTATGAAATCCTGTTTGTGTTGCGGCAATTTCAGTTTCAAGGGTTAAAACGCAAGTGTAAAACCTTAAAGCGAAAAGCAGCAAACTAGCTCAACAATATATAAATCATGATGGAAGTTATTGGTAGTCCATGTAGAACAAGTTGTCACACAAAGATGGTATGTGATCCATTTTCTCAAGCACAAACCACCAATTTATAAATGAGCAACAAGAAGTTTAGACTAAACAAAGTTGGGTAGAAGTTTTCCCCATAATCAAACTAAAAACTTGTCAAAGTTCAACAAAATGGGATGATATTTGAGGACTTTAAGTTTGAAAATTATCATTATTGACTCCAGAAAGGTAGTTCATAAAATCACTGTAACAAACAATATATAAATAATGATAGAAAAAAATTCTTTAGAAAAGAACAACCACCTAAAAAATTGACCAAATTGGGAGCGATGATCACCCAAAAAGAGGCTTTAATTATCTTAAACCACTGCAAAGTCAGCACCTATTGGCAGATGATCACTTGGATGGTAATAATTTGGCAATCCACCTTTTACGTCGGGCGATTCTGCTACTGGAAGTTCAAGGTAACCAACCGGTTCGATGCCTTCAGAAGGGGAGAATAATATATAATCAAGCGTACCAGTGAAACCAGGGGTACAGTTTGTGAACGGTGGTTCACCCCTTGTGTATGCATAAACACTGCACAAAGGAACTGGTACGTCTTCTGAACATTCTGGTAAAGGTACCACCATAGAACCGCCTGAAAGAAGGTACTCATATACCTGCAACATTAATTAATACTCACAACCCATATCATAAATCTTAGGTCACTTTGTTTTCTCACATAACACTTTTTCGAAAGTTAGAGGGTATTCATGGAAATAGCTGATTTATTATTTGGAGCAGATGTCAGGTTTGCTTACATCCCAACCTCCAGAGTCCAGACCCCACCTCTGAAGGGATATATTTGGCCAAAAAGTTGATTACCGGCAACCCCAACCATCCCCACATGGAACTCGCCTCCAAGGATACCAATGTGGGGGGCATTTTTTGGCTCACTCAGCGGCTAACGCGGGGCCCGGGATCAAACCTGGGAGCTGTCTTGGATTTGGGCAAAGTCGCCCCACACCTTTGCCAACTGAGCTACACGCCAAAGGCACACCTCCGAGGGGATATATTGATTGGTTTAGAACCATATAGTGCTAATAACATGATTTTCAATTTTTATTCATGTTTCTGGTAGAAATAAAGGGCAAAATGCATCAAGATGCAGCAAAGTCTGGTTTAGTTCCGAATTAGTGTAACAAAGAATTTTTTTTCTCGGTTGATGTAACAAAGCTTAAAATACCCTATCTTGTAATCATTTTGACCGATAACCTGCTGATCTTGTAACATTTGATGATGTGTATATGTGCTTAAGAAAGAGATACAGCCAAGTGAACGATAAACTTGACATCCACGTCATTAAATGTTACAAAATCAGCAGGTTACCGGTCAAAATAGGTACTTAATAAGAAATTTTGAAACTTGGTTTCACGATTGAGAAAAAAATTCTTTGTTGCACTAAATAGGAACTGAGGCAAAGTTAGTTGCATTTTGCCCTAAAATAAACAACTATGGGTTTCTTGAAATTTAATGTAAATATATGTTCATTTTGTGTGCTTGCTAAAAAGTCAAGTGCAGGTGGGTAAAATGAAATAACAACCAGTAATAAGGCAAAAAGAAACATTATAAGAGACACCGTATTGCGTACCTTATCTCCAGGAACCGAATTGAAATCCCCAGCAATAAGTACTGACGGTGTGCACTCGAATTTTTCCGATACCATTTTCTTGAATTGGGCTACACGTGATAATAGATATTTCGCCTGCGCAAGTTTGACATCGGCCCATTCTGGATCCCTGGACAGCAGAATTCAAACTTTCATCGTCCACAAAATTAACAAATGATCCACCTGAGTCCAGACAGCATAAGGGCAGAATCGGAATTACCATTACCAGTAAAGATGTGTGTTTGCCACAATGACATAATGTTGACAAGGATTTTTGAACTTGAATGCAGCCATAATTCCAACACAATCACGCTTCAACCGTACATATGGATCATTAGGATCTCCAAGATCCCCTTGAGTCTTTCCTTGCTCTATGCCAGAATGAAGAAAGAAACCGCATTATGATAGCGTTAAAACACAAACCAACATCAACAAAACAGAAGGTGAAGAACTCTAGGAGTATCATGATCCTAGAATCAAGAACCGATCATTTAAGAATATGACTAATCTTGTATGGCTTAATAGACTATGGCTTAATTCATCAATTTGATCTCAAGTTTGCATAGGAATATGACTTGTTGGATTTAGATTGACTTCCATGTTGTAGAATGCTGCAGCTTCTTACCATTTTACAACTTGTTAACAGAAAACAACTTAAGTATGTGTGGACTTGCATATTCTTACTGCAATTGTGATAACAAACGTTTAAATATACTTTTTCACTATAATTTTTATTGTTGCTTGTGCTATAAAACTTAATTTTGCTAAACAACCTATTCAATCCTCCTGTTCTCTTGGTTGTCCAACAAACAATATTTGATAACAAGTTAAATACCTTTATTATTGGTATCAAGAGCCTTCTTTTGTTCCACTCGTGATGGTTCATCTAGAATCAAGTTAGCAAGGTCATTGTAGTCAATTCTTTCCTCTACGATCAACTCCAATCTGGATATCAAATGAACAAAAAGGTAAACAGAGTACATGACTAAAATAAATATGTGTTTGCTATCAATACAACTCTTCTAAGTTTGGTTCAAAAAATTCAGCAGACACATCACTCCAAAGTTCAATGGATATAATTGAGTTCATTAATATAATTAATGAGAACTTCCTTGTTTATAATAATGAAGTGAAATTTTTGGTTTTTATATGTTAGCAGATCAGGACGAACTTTAAATTCGATTTTAACATCCATTCAAACAAATTCTTGAGATGTTATGCACTTGTTAGATTCACATACAGAGTCTAGTACCCTCCATCAATCGTGATTTTTAGTTTACCACTTTTGGATGCATTCACAGACCATTCGTTAAACTGGCAAACCGCATGTGAGTAGTATATTTTAAAAATCAGGAAAGACAGAAGAGAGTTTCAAAGGCAAGAGACCAAAGAAGAGAACAAGAACATACTTGAAGATGGCTATTCCAATTATCATGAGTCCCTTTTTCTAATAGCAGAGAGCAAAGAGAAGAACAAGTAACATCTTAGGATATCAGCCTTATATATAATTTATATAGTGGATATCATTTAAGATTAAGTTGCACAGAAATCATGCTTGTTGAAAGACAGGCAGAGATACATGCACAAGGAGAGAAAACTGTTTACAATTTTATAGGAGTTCTAGTCAAATTGTATAGAAGTATGTCTGTATGTATGTGTATATGCATACATATATATATACATCATGTATGCTCTCTGAATTAATCGATGCATGAAGAATTAATCAATGCATGAAGAATTAATTCCTGGAAAGTCTTCACAAAGCCTTTTCACAAAAAGGGATTCAAGAAGATCAACTAAATATGTTGACTTTGTGATTTAACATTTAACAGACTTAAAGAACAGCAAATTGTCATATCGACGTAAATGCAACAATAGTTGTTCATTCATTTTTAAATCAAAAGAAGTAAGTAACAATCATTCTTCTTGTGCTTGTAGAAAATCCCACATCCGTCAGATTTCCTCCCACTTCTCTTAATGTAAATGCTTGAGTAACCATGCTTCTCTACTTTTTCTTTGTAGAAATTATCATACTCATCTAATTCCTGGTAACAATTGTAAGAAATTTCTCTGTAAGAAAAACCCAGAGTTGATGGAAATAAGGATAGTAGAAAGATTACAACAGTATCTGAAGTGGACCTGGATTATTCATGAGATAAGATATGAAGAAAACCTGTAAGCATAAGATATCAGCATCAAGACTCTTGAGAACATCAAGAACTACTGATGAACGAGCTTTCCACCTGTGGTAATAGCAGACCAAATTTTATGCATGTTTAGTCTATAAAAGTGAAGAGTACTCATTCAAGGTAAGTACACACGATAGATCCATGCCAAAGCTAGGACTCCCCCCCCCCCCCCTTCTCTGCTGAAGGGTTCTGTTGGGGAGTATTCTAATGGGGTTCCACATATTCTCACACGGTATCAAAGCAGACTCGACACTTTGGGGCAATCCGTACCTATCTAGCCCCGTCTCGAGACTAAAACAATATGTACCCTCTGTTGGAGGGGGCGTGTTAGAGTCCCTTGTCCTCTAGGCTTAGACCGTTTTTCTTTAATATATGTTGGAATCCCCCTTCTCTCCTCAAGGGCTCTTTTGGAGAGTAATCTAATGGGGTTCCACATATTCTCACAGAGTCACAGCTAGTCTAACTTGTTCAAAATGGATATTATTTCTTCATTCCAATATTGCCTAAACCTTAGAGAATCTCCCTAGCAAAATCTAAGAAGTGGAACTAGAAGCCCTTGTAAGTCCATAAAGCATAAAGAACCAGAAAATGCTAGTAAGATAAATGATCGACGAATTCAAACATCCAATACGGACAAACTTACAACTGGAAAGAGAGGGAGATCTAAAACCAATACAAAGCAAGAAACATCCAATGATATTTTTATAATTTTCTACCTATAGAAGTTTTCATATCATGATAGCTTCATTTCAAGTAATGACCAAAAGAATTTTCAGAAAGCAGGAAACTCACTTGAGACAAGGTGCTGGAGAGTATGGGAATTTAGAACTTTTTACATATACCTGCAAAATTGCAAAGACGTGAGCTTCTGAAGATATACAATTAGTTAAAATCAAGGCATTGACTAATGTGTAGTATTCTATAAAGTTGAAGTTGTGCCCCGTTGCTAGGTATTAGACACGGGGTTTGTTGAAGTATTATACAGCTTCTGGTCCCAAGTCATGAAAGTTATAGATATAGGTGTCTTCCATAGCCTATATATCGAGATCTCCTATGTCCACATTGGTGCATCAAATAATTCGAAAAGTACCAAATATAGTTTGTAAAGTAGCAGAGACATACAAGTGTCCTACTTAGCTTTCAAAGCTAGAAATATACAGGTGTGTGCAGGTCATCCAAAATAGCCTGGTGGGCCCACAAATTAGTGATAATTCTTACTTTCTTAGCCAAGGTGGATTATTGTTGGTTTTTGTCCTTCTCTAGTTTTCCATGTAAAAACCTTGGTGTCACCTTTGTTGTTATGATTATCTTGTGTGAATTTTGTGCTTGATTTCTCAAAAATGCTACAACATAAATGCTATTAAATAATTAAAGACTGAGAGATTATGTGAAACCCCCCTTTGAATCTCTTTCTATAAGAGCCTTTATAGATAAAGGGAAGGTTCCTACATATATAGAGGTTTGACGGCTCGTGTCTAGCCCATATTTGAACCCGTTTGAATCTCTCTCTACACGTCTACAGATTCGTTGCTCCGAGTATAGCTTATGCGGGACTCCATTACCAACAATATATACATTCAACAAATAATCAATTGGCAACCTAAATACCTGTGTTACATACCTGAGCCAAGATGTTATATGAAACCACGCGAAATTTGAAGCCTGTAATATTACGTATAGAAATGGTAGTTTAGCTCAGGTAGATTCAACCAAATTGCATTCAACAAAATGTAGAAATGAGTGGCATGCTCTTTGCAGGCATTTCAACAATGTAGAATCTAACCAAAGGGCCTTTGGCCTAGGGGTATCGTAGTCCTTGGCCTTCTAGGTCAGGGTGTGTGAGTTTATTTGTTGCATTTGCCGTATATAAATATTATATACTTCCAAAAAAAAAAAAAACAATGTAGAATCTAGATAACCAGTATGCTCGATTTCCAAAAGCAAGACATAGAATCCCCTTTCCAGAAAAATAGAGAAAGTAATAGTGAATAATCAATCAAACAGCTAATTCTAATCATACCGTCAGACTTGCTCACTGAAGTAATTTCACTCTGTTCCACTGGGATAAACTTAGGGTAAACTGGTGTAGCTGTTGCCATATCCGTAGTGCTCATTTTTCTCATACAAACCTTACTGCACATAACATTAAAAAGCCCTGTTTTACTTAATTCACCTCAAACATGAGTGTATTTCTGCTTAATTCATACAAAATACACTAGAAATTTAAAAAAACAAAACAAGGATTGGTGAAAGCCCAAGCTTCTTTTGAAACTAAAACTAAAAACCGAATACAATATATGACCCATGAACCAGTGAAAGAGCAAATAAAAACACCCACAGCATAAAGACCATACTCGTGAACTCTGAAATCGTTGAAGATGTTAAACTTGAAGGATAACTACACACTAGCATATATTAGAGACTGAAAAGCATAAACTAGTAACAAATCTACATCAATTTCGAATTTGAAATGCTATGCATTTCAATAATTTCCAAATTTAGAAGAGAGGGAGTAAAACTAGAAGCAGGAATCACCGTACCTTGTCCAGAAGGTGGAAGAAATGAGAGGGATTCGAGAATGCAATAAAAAACCAGATTTCAGAAGCATTTTTCCCCACAAATGGGAAGAAGGATATAAGACGAGTTACAGAAGGCATTCCTCTTCCCACAGAAAACGGGGGTGTTTTGGGTTGTTTATTTAAAATAATTTATTTTTTTCTATAAAAATATTTATTATCGATGTTACACCAAAATTGTTTAGTATCACAGACACAATATTGGGAAAACACTCAGTTATGGGGCTAAATGCTTCACTTTATTAATGCCACCAGAGGGCTACTTAAATACACGTAGGAAAAACTAACAGAAACAAAGAACAAACTCCTAGTCTATAGGAGAGGACTAGAACAATTCAAAAATAAACAAACTCTTCCTGTAAAACAGGAACTTATTCACATGATCATATTTGACCCACTCCAACATATCTTCTCCTAAACTAAAGACTCAACTTTAGTTTATCTCAGTTGCTTCCAACACACCCAACATAGCTCGCAGCTCGCAGCTTCTCATACTGATCAACCTTCAACGGTTTTGTCATGATGTCTGCTACTTGAGCTGAAGTGTTACGGTACTTCAACTCTATTGTTCCATCATTTACCAAATCACGAAGAAAAAAATACCTCACATCTATGTGCTTGCTTCGATTGTGCATAACCGCATTTTTCGAAAGCTTTATAGTTGACATGTTATCACAATTAATAACAGTACCTTCTTCCTGAGTCAGACCAATGTATTCAAACATTCTTCTTAGCCATACAACTTGACACGCACATGCTGTGGCAGCTACAAACTCTGCTTCAGTAGTCGAGAGGGTTACAATTGGTTGTCGTTTGGAAGACCAAGCAATTGCAGCCCCACTCAGAAAACATACAYAACCTGAAGTGCTTCTTCGATTGTCATGATCACCAGCATAATCRCTATCAGAATAYGCCACTAAAAGAWCGCTRCCTCCTTTCTTATAAAAAATTCCAAGTTCTTTAGTCCCCTGGATATATCGAAACAATTTCTTCATCGCTGCCATGTGTTGTTCAGTTGGAGCCTCCATATAACGACACAATTGACCAGCAACAAACATTATATCTGGACGCGTTGCTGCCAGGTACATGATACAGCCCACCATTTGTTTGTAGATTGTTGCATCAACAAACCCACTTTGATCATCCTTCACCAACTTGCAGCCCGGAACCATAGGARTCTTTACACCATTGCAGTCTTTCATGTTGAATCGTTMGAGTATTTCAYGAGCATACTTYCGCTGATTGAGATGAATACCATCTTCACTTTGTATAACCTCTACACCCAGAAAATATCGCATTTCTCCTAGATCTGACATCTCGAACTCAGAYTTCATCGACGCCTTGAATTCCTCAATTACTTCGAGTGTACTTCCTGTTATAATTAAATCATCTACATAGATAGAAACGATTAAGAAAACATTTTCCTTAGCTGATTTAACAAACAGGGTCGGCTCAAATGGACATTTTTTGAAGCCTTCCTTAAGAAAGTAGCCTTCAATTTTCCCGTACCAGGCCCTCGGAGCCTGCTTTAAACCATATAGGGCCTTCTTCAATCGATAGACCTTTCCTTCATTACCTTGTACTTCATAACCTTGGGGTTGTTCTACATACACAGTCTCTTCCAAATCACCATACAAAAAAGCACTCTTTACATCTAATTGATGAACTTTCATACCTCGTTGTGCTGCAAGTGCAAAAATGCTTCTGATTGTATCCCATCTAGCCACTGGAGCAAAAACTTCAGAGTAATCAATCCCTTKCCTTTGAACATACCCCTTTACCACGAGTYGAGCCTTRTATTTATCGATCTTCCCATCCTTGTCTAGCTTAGTTTTGAAGACCCATTTCACACCAATTGCTGTTGCACCTGCTGGCAGATCGCATAATTCCCAGGTGTTGTTTCTTTCAATTGACTCGATCTCCTGCTTCATTGCCTGTATCCAACACTCGTCTTGCGCAGCTTCTTGATAGTTGGTTGGTTCCGATAAAGAAGAAAACATAGCAACGTTTTCCCTTTGTTCTTCAACATCTTCTCCACTGACATAATCTTGCATCCAAGACGGTGCTTTTGTTGCTCTCCTTCTTCTTTCAACAATATTGCTTGTAACTGGATTAGTGTTTGAAGGCCCGCTTTCAATTATATTCGACGTCCCATCAGCGTTATTAGCCCTATTTAGTTCATTCGATGGGCTATTAACAACATCTGAGGTATTTGGCCCATCTTCATCACTCCCCTGCTCATCTTTATCTTCCCACTCCAGGTCGGTAGGGTTGATCACTGATTGCTGTATCCARTTCCAGGARGCATCTTCTTCAAATACAACRTCTTTACTCACAATAATCTTYTTGTTGGAAGGGTCATAGAGTCTATATGCTTTGGACTCTTCACTAACCCCAAACAAGACACACTTTAAGCTTCTGTCATCCAGCTTCAACCTTCTTTCCTTAGGAATATGAACGTGAGCAATGCATCCAAATACTCTRAAATAACWTACAGATGGTTTTCGAYCACTCCACTTTTCTTCTRGTGTGCAATTTTCAAGAGCTGCAGTAGGACTTCGATTGAGTACATGTACGCACCAGTTGGTAGCTTCAGGCCAGAAAATCTTTGGAACCTTCCTTGCACTCATTACACTTCGCACCATATTTATCAGAGTTCGGTTTTTTCTCTCTGCCACGCCATTTTGATGTGGTGTGTAAGCTGCAGTGAGTTGTCTTTGTATGCCATTGTCTTCACAGAACACTTTGAACACACTGGAATTGAATTCACCTCCTCTGTCGGTCCTCAAACATTTAATCTCAACTCCTGCTTCTTTTTCAACCAAAGCTTTAAACTTCTTAAAGGTGTCTAAAGCTTGTGATTTTTCTGTCAAAAGATAACTCCAACACTTTCGTGAGAAATCATCAATAAAGATAATAATGTACCTCCTTAGGCTCGTCGATTGAGGGGTGATGGGTCCACAAATATCTGAGTGGACAAGCTGAAGTTGTTGGGTTGCCCTCATGAACTTGTTTTAGGAAATGATTCTCTGGTTTGTTTTCCTACCAAACAGTCCGAACAAGTTCCACCTTCGACATTAATCCTTGGCAGCCCCCTCACCAGATCCTTATCATGCAGCACCTTTAAGCTCCTGTTGTTGATATGCCCGAATCTTTGATGCCAAAGACGAGTAGTGTCATCAGTTTCTGTTTTGTGACACTCATCAATGCCACCTGGTCTAGCCTTGATCATAAACATTTTGTTTGAGGACATTTGAACCCTTGTGATCAGCCCCTTTTTTGGATGGTATATGCTGCAAAAACCATTCTTAATCAAGATCTCTATTCCCCTTTCTTGGACTTGGCCAACACTGATCAAATTGTTCATGAGATCTGGGACATAGTATACATCATTCAACGTGTGAATCACACCTTCAAAGTCGAGACGAACATTCCCTTTTTCCCATGACAACCATACGAACATCATTTCCAAGTCGCACATTATTACGGTAAGATTCATCCAAGGTACTAAACCATTTTCTTTCACCTGTCATATGATTGGAACAACCCGAGTCAAAGAACCAATTCCATTGTTTTGTCGAGCCACCTTTATCCACTTGAGCCATCAACACCATCTCCTCTGTATCATTATGTTCCACATAATTARCATCCTTCTCCCAATCTGGACATTCATTTTGGAAATGTCCAAGTTTGTGGCACCTGTAACATTCTATCCTACTTCTATCGAATGAAATTCTGCCACGACCTCTTCCTCCTCGACCGCCTCGTCCTCTTCCCCGTCCACGAGAGGGTRACCCAGTTGATATCTTCAGAAYMTGTTCATCATCTTGCTGCCCAATCATACGTTGTTCATGGACAAGAAGACTTCCATGGAGTTCATCGATTGTCATGGTATCGAGGTTGTTGGATTCCTCAATAGAACAAACAACATAGTTAAATTTCGGGCTCAATGAACGTAGTACCTTAGCAACAACAGCCCCTGAAGTTAACGGGTCGCCATTTGCCTTCATTTTGTTCACGATCGTCAAGGTCCGGGCTAAGTAAGTATCGACCTTCTCACCGTCTTTCATGGACAGAAGTTCATACTCTCTTCTTAAGGCCTGCAACTGAGCTCTTTTCACCTTTGTAGAGCCCTCATATTTCTGTCGCATTGAATCCCAGAT